CCCTAACACCTGGCAGCCACGGTGGGGCAGAGCTGAGAACACAACGTGGCCCGGTGCCAGCCCTGACGCCACCGTGGAGCTGGCACTGCCCTGCTCCCTCAGCTGTAGTGCCCACCACACATGGGTCTGAGGACCAGGGGCCACGTGGATAGGAAGTTCCTGACACAGAGCCAGGGCCATTGGGAGGCCTGGGGAGATGGCAGGGGACCCCAGGGGGTGTGGCACAGTAGGGAGGGCAGTGGTAGAAGGCTTGTGTCACTTCCCACTTATCCCCGACTTGTGCCCTTCCACTGCCCCGTGGGGAATCCAGAGTGCAGAGGCAGGAGTGTGAGCTCTGGAAGCCATTGCCAGGGTTCAGAGCTTCCTGGGGAGAGGCCTGTCAGGGAGCCCCTCTCTAGAGGGTCGCTGTGAAGATTACGCGCGTTAACGCAAGGAGAGCTCAGGACGCTGCCGTCCATTCTCCAAGCCGGGACGTCTGTGTCCAGGAGAACAGACCTGCAGCAGGGCTGCCCACAGCAACCGGGGAACTGGTCGCCCAGGTCCAGTGCCGACACTCGTGTGTGGCACGCAAGGTATTGGCTGTTTTCATGCCTCAGGACCAGGAACCCCTCTGTGAAGTGGGCTGTGACACCCTAAAAGGGGGGGCCGACTCAGCCAGCCCTGCCTGGCTCCTCAGGGCCACAGACCCAGCACCTCTACCCCCCTGTCAGACTGCAGTCCTGGCTGCTGGGAGCCAGCGAGTCTGCCCAGCACAGAGAGCAGGCAACTCACAGTGAGAGAGGGACAAGCTGCTGGCTCTTCCCTGGCCGCCTCCACGGTGCCAGGACCTGGAGTGCTGGGAGATGCCCACCCCCCCTTTGGGGAGCAGGTCTCAGTCTCAACTCTTGGCCTCCCGTAGCAACTCCACGGGAAGAACCTGGTGTTCAGTGACGGCTACGTGGTGAAGGAGACGATTGGTGTGGGCTCCTACTCCGTGTGCAAGCGCTGCGTGCACAAGGCCACAAACATGGAGTACGCCGTCAAGGTGGGCCTTCCAATCGCATGTTGCTTGGGGCGGGGGCGAGGGAGCTGTGAGTGAAGCCAGGACCGAAAAAAACCAAATGCACTGTCATCGAGTTAATTCCAACTCCGTGATGCTATAGATCCGGGAGAACTGCCCCTGACTGCAACTCTTAATGGGAGTAGAACTGTTGACCTTGCAGTTAGTAGCCCAACATGCAACCACTGCGCTAGCGGATGAGGCTGCCCTGCTCTGCTGAAGATGAACAGCCTCAGGCACCCTGTAGACCCATACCTTGAGTCAAGTCCGCCCTATAGGGGCCTGATAGGGCGGAGCAGAACTGCCCCTGTGGGTTTCCAGGACTGTCATGCTGTACGGAAGCTGTGGCTGTTGGTCTTGAACTGCTGACCTTGCGGTTGGCAGCTGAATGCATAACCCACTGCACCACCAGGGCTCCTTCCTTTTAGGAGGAAGCTTGGTGCCTGAGGCTCTGCGGGTGCGTGAAGGGTCAGCCCTGCAGTGTGGACTCCCTGGCAGGGAGGGACTTTGGGATGTGTCTTGTCACTGCAGTGTGCTATCTCTTTGCCTCAGGTCATTGATAAGAGCAAGCGGGACCCCTCGGAAGAGATTGAGATTCTCCTGCGGTACGGGCAGCATCCCAACATCATCACCCTGAAGGATGTGCGTGCAGGTCCTTGAGATGGGGGGGGCGCCGGGAGACTTTGTTCAGGGCGGGGAGGGCAAGGAGGCCCTGTTGTCTCTGGCCTGGCTGGACCCCCTGAACCTTCCAGCCCAGACCCGGATTTTCTGAGCACTTTCCCGA